TTTTATGATATTTTTATTTTATTTTCTGGAACCAGCGGCAAGCGAACGTGTCGCGGATTCTGCATAAGACACATTGTGCCTTCACAACGCGTAAAGCAGTATAGAATCCATTTCAATTGGCGCTGTAGATTCTCGCTCTTGCATCATCCACGACGACATGTTCATTGCTTGTGGTCAACCATTTCTCGCCCAAGCATTCTTCTTTCACTCACAACTTGCCCCCATTTTATTGTTAGGTGCAACCAGCATCAACTAATTTTTACTTAATTATAATCAATTACTTTATTATACAATACATGCAAAATAAATATAAATTGTTTTTATGGTGCTCTAATTTATTTTCACTTCTTCCATTGTTGTAGAAAACGTTACGTAATTATATAGCGGTGGTTCAAGCGTGCGTTACAAGTGAAAGAGAGGGTATTGAAAATACTCCAAATTTGAGTTAAGTAATTTATGGACGGCCCCTAAATTTGCATTTAACAGGATGAAGATGTAAATCATTTAATAAACACCACAGGTAGCTAGTAGACTACCTCGCAGTTCACTAATGTCCTCAGTGAATTCAATACTTTTAAACCAGGCGCGGTTCGTTGTTAACGGCTGTAAGGCGGAGCCCCTCTCTTACAGAAATCACCGTCCAAAAGAAATTTATAATCGTAGTTTAGTCAAGTAGTTTATATGTTATAATGTTAAGCTTTATTGCACGAGTACGATTTGAAAACGAACGACTTTAGGAGTGAGTTTCAAATTTGTACGAATGTAATAAAGCAACATTATAAACGAGTTGCTTACTATATTTTTTTGTACAATAGCATTATGCATTTATAAGAGAATCAAACTTAATTTTGGGAAACAACTTTTCTGTGACGACTCTGATATTTGACATCGTGCGAGTAAACGGTGGTCGGCTTTCCGTTTAGCTCTACTTCCCCCCGATTCTCTCGCTACGATTGGCTGAATATGTGATGACGCAATTATTCCCGACATAAAATCTAATATTTCATCATTTGTGCCGTAAAATGCCCAGTTATGAACGATTTTTTGCAACAGAAAAGGTTATTTTATAATGCTGGAATACAAAAACTGTATTTATTCATTAATAATGTATTTCCGAGTTATATTATGTAGCGACCATATCAACATTTTTCTTTGACTCTTCGATAACGGCCGAATTGAAGGAATTTGAAGCTATTGACGAGGAAGAGAAGGTCTATTCACAATGCAAACGTAAACATAAGCATAGCACATAGACATAAACATTTACATAAGTGTTAGACAGAAGTATTCACAATGTGTAACATAAATTGAGCAAAATATTTCTTTCTGTTGTCTGTGAGACATTTTGGTTTACTATTGGTTGGATGTGAGAATCGATTTCAAGGTATCGACAGTGTCCATGGTCCATATGGCGATAGTTCTTCTGTCGACTTCGCTCCAATTTCGATTCTCGATTTTGAGTTACCGTTCTGTGATTGGTTCATTTCTTATGTCTTACTTAAGCACAAGCACAGAAGCTTGAAGCTTTTAAGTTAACGTCTTACGTGTTATGCTTATGCGAGCGCATTGTGAATGAGTCCGCTTATGAACGTAGAACTAATTTTATGTTAACGACATGCTTATGTTTATGATTGCATAGTGAATGGGCCTTTATGCTCCCACTTCATTCCGCCATAAGGCCTGTGTAAAACAGGGAGACGTGACGTCATGCATTCACTGCACAGGCTTCCCGGCTGACGAAAGCTGAGGCCAGGGAGCCTCAAGTGTGGGACATGGGTGAGGCCTAGGAGCTGAAGGAGAGCGTGCTCACCAGAAAGCATTACTATGCAGCTCAGCGAGTACCATTGAGCAGCAACCAGTGTTTGCAATTAGCGCCAGGAGCGCTACTCCCTTATGGCTATTAAGAGTCCTTTGATACAGAATCCAGGGACTCTAATAACTGTAAAGGAAGATATTGTATATAAAAATACAATAAAGAAATTAAGCGCTGCCAAATATTACAAGGATATAAAGTTAATTTGGTCGCGCATTTGTGCCCCCTCCCCCCATTTCTACCTGTCAGTGCTTTTGGCGCTTAAGCATTTGCAGCCTTCCCCATTTAAAAAACAACAAACCGCGACTGTTTTAAAGAGTTTTACATCATCAGCAAATAAAGAAATTCAAACTTCCTAGACCTGGGCAAATATCATTGATGAATTCAACAAACAATTAAGTGAACGTTCAGTACAGTAAATGTCAACCTTGGGGTACCCCCAGAAGATACAGAAATTTCATTGGATATGAAGCCTTTGTATTTGATAAATTGAATTGTTTTAGAAATAATCAGCTAACCACTTAAGAAGTGATCCTGATATACCGCAGGATTTAAGTTTTAAAATTAACAATTGGTGGTTTTCCGGATCGAATGCCTTACTTAAGTCAGTATAAATGCTAACTACTTGGATTTTCCTTTCATGAGAGTTTAGAATATACTGACTGTAAGGAACTAAGCTATTTTCAATGTTTCGTACTGGCATAAATCCATGTTGATTTATGAAAATTAATAGAAATAGCTTATGATAAGAGTATAACATTGAAATCATTAAAAAGATAAATACACATTGAATAGTTTATTTGAAACAAAAGTATTCTAATTTAACTTAATATGAAAATTGAATTTGTTTCTTTCTACTATTTCTAGTTTTCAAACATCCTCATTTAATTGTTCAGCTTCTGTAAGTTTTCTAATTTTATTTAACCAATTATTTTTTGTACACCTCTTTTTCTTCGACTTGGTGGGAACCATTGTAACACTTTTTTTGAAGACTATTTAACTCCATACTACACTAATTGTCTACAATTTATAAGATCTAAAGTTTTTACATTCTTATACGTACGTATATAAAAAGTTGTTTTCTGTATTA